CGCTTAATCTCTTTTTCTTGCCTAATTGCTACTGCAAATACTTACAGTACTATATTGAACAGTAGTGGAGACAGTGGGCATCCTTGTCTCATCCCTGATCTTAGGGGGAAGGCTCTCAGTTTTTCCCCATTGAGGATGATGCTTGCTGTAGGCTTATGGTAGATGGCTTTAACTATATTGAGGAAAGTCCCCTCTATCCCCAATTTGGCGAGGGTTTTCATCATAAATGGGTGCTGGATCTTGTCAAATGCTTTCTCTGCATCTATTGATATGATCATATGATTTTGGTCTTTTCTTTTGTTGAATTGATGGATTATGTTGATTGATTTCCGAATGTTAAACCATTCTTGCATCCCTGGGATGAATCCTACTTGGTCATGGTGTATGATCTTTTTGATGAGTTGTTGAATTCTATTTGCTTGTATTTTGTTCAGAATCTTTGCATCCGTGTTCATCAGGGATATCGGCCTGTAGTTTTCTTTTCTTGTGGTGTCGTTTCCTTTTGGTATTACAGAGATATGGGCTTCATAGAAACTGTTTGGGAGAGTTTCTGTTTTTTCAATTTCCTGGAAAAGCTTGAGAAGGACTGGCAGTAGGTCCTCTTTCAATGTTTGGAGAAATCCGCTAGTGAATTTATCTGGACCTGGGCTTTTGTTTTGGGGAAGACTTTTGATTACAGTTTCAATTTCCTTGATGTTAATAGGTCTATTCAGGTATTCTATATCTTCTTGACCCAGCTTTGGGAGATTATATGAATCCAGGAATTTATCCATTTCTTCCAGTTTCTCTTGTTTCGTGGCATACAGACTTTCAAAGTAGTTTCTGATGATCTTTTGAATTTCTTTGGTTTTCATTGTGATATCTCCATTCTTATTTCTGATTCGGTTTATTAGGGTTCTCTCTGTTTCTTTGTGAGTGTTGCTAGTGGTTTATCTATCTTGTTTATTTTCTTGAAGAACCAGCTCTTGGTTTCATTGTTCTTTCGGATTGTTTTTTGGTTTCCATGTCGTTGATTTCTGCTCTAATTTTTATGATCTCTTTCCTCCTGCCCGATTTGGGCTCCTTCTGTTGATCCTTTTCTAAGTTCTTGAGCTGTGAAGTCAAGTTGTTTATGTGCATCCTTTCTTCCGTCCTGAGATATGCTTGTAGGGCTATAAATTTTCCCCTTAATACGGCTTTAGCTGCATCCCATAAGTTCTGGTATCTCGTGTCTTCATTCTCATTTGTTTCCAAGTATCTTTTGATTTCGTCCTTGACTTCCTTCCTGATCCACTAGTTGCTCAGCATTGAGTTGTTTAATTTCCAGGTGTTTGCTTTCGTTCTCCGTGTCTGTGTGTGATTCACTTCTATTCTCAGTGCATCATGGTCCGAAATGATTGATGATACGATTTCTGTCTTCCTGATTCTATTGAGGTATGTTTTGTGGCCTAGCACATGGTCTATTTTGGAAAATGTTCCGTGTGCACTGGAGAAGAATGTATATTCTTTCTTTTGGGGGTGTAAAGCCCTGTTTAGGTCTATAAGTCCTTTCTCTTTTATTTTTTCTTTCAAAGCAAATGTTTCCTTGCTGAGTTTTGTTCTTGTTGATCTATCCAGAGGTGATAAGGCGATGCTGAAGTCTCCCACTACTATTTTGTTGCTAGCAATGTCCTCCTTAAAATCTGTTAGCAGTTGTTTTCCAATTATTTAGTTGTTCTTTCATTAGGTGTGTATACATTTAAGAGTGTGATTTATTCCTGTTGTATGTATTCCTTGATGAAGAGAAAATGTCCTTAGCTGTCCCTTCTAATCTTTTTCAGCCTGAAATTAATGTTGTCGGATACTAGTATGGCCACCCCAGCTTTTTTGAGGGAGCTGTTTGATTGCAGGATTGTTTTCCATCCTTTAACTTTGAGTCTGTGTTTGCTCTGATTGTTCAGATGAGTTTCTTGTAGACGGCAGAATGGTAGACAGCAGAATGTTGATTTCAGTTTCTGGATTCATTTTGCCACTCTGTGTCTCTTGGTAAGTGCATTTAGACCACTGACATTGAGAGATCATTTTCATGGGGTTTTGTGCTATCTTTCTGTAGGGGTTGGTTGTGTTTATAAGTGTTTTCCTTCTTATCTTACAGGAGTCCCTTTAATGCTTCCTTTAGATTTGGTTTTGAGTCTATGAAGTTCCTGAGCTGTTGTTTATCTACAAAGTTGTGTATGGTCTATCGAATTTGAGTGAGAGTTTAGCTGGATAGAGTATTCTTGGTGAGGTGTTCATTTCATTGAGTTTTTTCACTATATCCCACCATTGCCTTCAGGCTTGAGTGTTTCCTCTGATAGGTCTGCTGTGAATGTAAGGGGTGCTCCTTTGTACGTGATTTCCTTATTTGACCTTGCTGCTTGTAATATTGTGTCTCTGTCAACAGAATCCATCGTGGACATGATATGCCTTGGAGTGTTTTTTCTGGGGTCTCTTTTAGCTGGTACCCTTCTGGCTCCTTGGATCTGGATGTCTGCATTCCTTAACTCTGGGAACTTTTCAGCAATGATTTCTTTGACTGTGGCTTTTTCATTGGGTTTTTTTCCCTGTCCTTCTTGTACTCCAGTGATTCTAATGTTGTTCCTCTTGGTGTCATCCCCTAGGTCTCTGAATATCCTTAGAGCCATTTTGAGTTCTTTTCCTATTGCTTGTTGTTCCTATGGGATTTCTGTTGCTCATCTTCAAGTTCGCTGATCCTCTCTTCAGCTGCAGTTATCCTATTGCTAAGGGCACTTACTGATTTTTTAATTTCATCTACTGAATCCTTTGTGACACTTCTTTTTGTAGCTTTTTAATTTCTGCTCTCATTTCTTCTTGTATTTTCTCGACTATTTGCTCTATTATTTCTTTCATTTCTTCTTTTAGTTTTCTGGATATCTCTTCCATTGCGTCTTTGAATAGATCCTTGAACACCTTCTGCATTTCGTCCCAGAATTCTTTATCAAAGAGAGCACAATTGTGGACAACCTCGGTTGAGGATTTGGGATTCTTTTCTTCACATTGTCCTTGTAGTGGGGATTTGCGTTGTTTCTTCATGTTGTTTTGGTTGCCTAGCGGTAGAACCCTGAAATCACAGGTACTGTTCCCTCTTATTGTGGGAAAGGATTTTGAATAAGATTGGTCGATGGTAGTCACCCTTCTCCTTTTCTAGAGTCCAACCTTCTTCCCAGTCAGGCATTATTCTTTGTTTTATAATGGACATTGAGTGAAGCTTTGGAGGAGGTACTTTTTAATATTGACCTTGAACAGCTTATTTCATACTGGACTTTTGTTAGAAATGGAGTAGATGAGTGGAATGTTGTTGCATTGTAGTAGAGGTGGTCAGAAATTTTTGGTCAGTTTTAGGTGAAAAAGTGTGGGATGAAAGTCCTGAGTGCTTGGATCAGGAAATATAAGTGTGGGTATGCAAGTGGGCGGCAGCCCAGGAAAAGGCCACGCCCACTTCTGGGCGACCACGCCCCCTCCGTAGTTGCCACGCCCCCATCCCGTCCCATGGTCACTCCACCCAGGATCCTGGAATGGAGGCGGGGCAATGGGGAGTCCAGCGGAGCTGTGGCCCTTGTCCCCCGCTGGAGGGTGTCCAGTTAAGCCCGAAAAGGCCTGGGGCTGGGGGGAGGAGCAGCAGTCCCAGCTCCGGCTCCCCCTACCCACCTGTAGCACATCTTTTTTTTTTAAGTTAAATAAAAGTGATTTTAATAGTGACTGTTCTCTTTTTTTTTTCTTTTTTTATTAGTGAAACACCATGAGGTACAGTTATAGGCTTACAAATTTTGTGCTTGGGTTTCAGTTATACAATGATCAAGTGCCCATCCCTCCACCAGTGCCTCTCATCCATCACCACGGGTCCCAGCATCCCCCCCCCATCCCCCCATCCCATCCTGCCTCTGTGGCAGGACATTCCCCCTTGTTCTCTCTCTCTTCTTTTGGGTACTGTGTTTTGCAAGAAAGGCATTGAGTGGCAATCATGTTTGGTCTATAGACTACTTTTAGCATGCTTCTCCCACCCTGGGAGGGTCCTCGCAACACCCTTCATTTGGTGCTCTCTTCTCTATCTGAGCTTCCTTTTCACCTAGAACGTGTGGCTGGCTTTCCATTCATGGAGCAAAATTCCTGGTACTAATCTCAGCCATTCCTGGGTGTTAGTCTCCCTTTTTGTTGCTTTATGTTCCCCAGATGAATGCAATCTTTCTGTGTCTATCCAGTCAATCACTTGTTGTCAGTCACGGGTTGTTTCCAATACTTGGTTTAGATGGTGTTGAAGTGAACATAGAAGTGCATCCATATTTTCAAATTAGTGTTTCTGCATTAGTAAGATAGATTGCTGATCTCATGGGAAGTATTTTAATATTTTGAGGAAACAGATTTATATTCTATAGAATTTGAGTCAATTAACATTCCCAACAGTGTGTTATTAATAATATTCCTTTCTCTCTACATACTTACCAACACTTACTTTATTTCCCATGTGTATATTTGCCATGTATATATTTTCTTTGGAAAAGTATTCATTTATTTCTTTCATTTTATTGGGCTATTGATTTTGCAACATATGAATTCTTTGTATATCTTAGATATTAACTACTTATCAGTGTTTTATCCTTTCAATATTTTCTCTCATTCAATGGGATAAATTTTTTTTAAATAAAATTTTATTCTCTAGCTTATCAGGCTATAGAACTATGGAGTACAAAATTATACTTCTATAATTGCATATGTTACATCTCACTTACATAAGTTTGTGACAATTAACTTTCAATTGCTTACATCATTATCAAATATATCATTTAACTTTGTGAGATTTTAGCTTTTTAAAAGATATTTAGTAATTTATGTATACTATCAATATAGTTTACATAAAAAGAACTGCACTAAGACTTGCCATCTAATTATCGATATCAGCTGATTTGTATTAATATCAAGGTTATTAATCTTTTATTCACAATGACAACTCTTATTATTTTCCATTTACCTATAATTTTATTCAGGTGAGTCAAGTGCTGAATTTCCTTAAACCTCAAACATTTGACAGTCCAGAAAGTGAATATCAAATAATGTTTCCATATTTTGTGGAAAAACTTAATACAATGAACAAACTGCCTGCAATATTTTTTGCGTAAGTAATGTTTCTGCAAATAGTACAATACTTCATATTGCATAAATCTGAAGAAATTTAAAAATAGTATTGAAAGTATATAAGTAAATTGAAATCAAAGGTTTGTACAAAGTTGGCTATAATATAAAAGTAAAAAACAGAATTGGCATGTTAATTATTAGAATAGTTTTATAAAAGTTTTATATAGCATCAAAGTAAGATAGGAATGAAAGAATACAATTATATTGGGTGCCAGAAAGATTAAAGTATTTACCTTGCACACGGCTGACCCAATTTGATCTCTGGTACATCCTATGGTCACATGAGTCCTGTCAGGAATAAACCCTATGACAGAAACAGGATAATACCAGAGTACTTTGAGGTATGCTCTCCCCCAAAGTACTAAGTATGCTGTATTTGCTGAAACAATATGAGATCACAAGTACTAGCACACATATGACCTTTCCATAAATATTTGTTCTGCATCATGTTAACAAAATTGGTTGTATCTAGACACCTGCCATAAAAAGGATTACCTTAGAAAAACTTGAAGACATTTTTCTGTTTCTAATTTTTCTTCAGTGATTTAAAGAAACATAAGATGGGCTTAATAGCAGCAAATAATAATTAGCAATCATGTATTCATTGTATTTATTTATTTTTGCAGAATATTGAGCCAATATGCATTGGTGAAGTGAGCTCACTTCCTATATTTTCACCTGTTGTGCCTGTTCTTTCTATGTGATAAGATAGAAATTTTAAACATATGATAAACTAGGTGTTTTAAAGGGTGTAGTAGGAAGAAATAATGATAAAGATAAGATGGTCAAAGAAATTTTTATGGAAGAATTGGACCTCAAAGTAGAATTTTCTAGCTAGGGAGAAGTAGAAGAGAATTTGAAAGTAGCCTCAATCCATTTACTCCACTTCTTTAGAAACTAAACAAGGATTTTTCCAAGGAAAGGTTATGAGTAAATATTATATTATATATATATAATCTCTACTTTTCTTTCATTCCTATTTATACCATATCTAATATAAAGATATATGTATACCATATTATACATGCAGATATATGTATATAAAATAATAGATATGATTTAAGGTTACTATAGTTTGCACATATGTGTGTTATACTCAACTCATAAGTCATATGGTATATAAGTCTGTGAATGTTTTCATCCATTTATAAGGTGTATTCAATAATGAATTAACTAACATTTGTCTATTGATATAATTGAAATATATTTTAGTATTTTAATGCTTTTATTGTCTTTTATTATAGCATAAGAAATGTCTTTCGGTTTTGGTTTTATTTTAATGTATAAGTTTATATTATAGGGAATCACAGTTAATAAATGTACAAATTTTATGCTAATTTGAAATTAAATATAAAAAATAATATTTATAAACATAATGTCAGATCAAAGTGTACCCTTCAAATGCCTGTAAAAAATAACTACATTTTAATCTTTAGTAAATAGGAAACTTCTTGAGCAAAGAAGTTTGAACCAGTAATAACAACATACAAAATTTATAGAAATTTCCCTCAAACGATTCAAATTGCATTTCAAAAGCAAATATTAACATCAAAAATAGAAAAAAAATGGTAGTGCCTTCTTCACAAGCATTTAGGAAGCTTACTATAGTAAAAGTTTAAATAAAAGTATTAATTGACCTAAAATTTTATCATATTTTAAATTAATATGTCTAAACATACTGACATATTCTTCCACTCACAGACCGAATTGTGTGTGAAAAGGGTCAAAAAGAGTACAGGAATAAAAATACTTTCCAAATAGTTCTCTACTATCAAAAAGTATTTAATAATCCAAACTAGTCTAGAGTAATTTGAATATGCAATTTTCAAAAATTCTTAAATATTTTTATCTAGATTCAATATTAACAGAGTGGAAATATCAGCTTCTGAAGTTCATTTGAATTTATTGAAAAAGCACACTACTCAAAATGATCCAAATTCTGAAACGTCAAGTGAAAATGTGTCCAAGAAAATATTAAAAGGAAGAAGTCACAAGAGGTAATGTTGCTGTGTTTCAAGATAAATTTTGAAATTAAGTATTTAATAATTAAAATTTGTTTTCTTTATGTGGTGTTTCATATCACATGTGATATTTTATTGAGTTAGTCTTCACTTTGAGATGACACTTGAGGTATTATTATGGCACATTTTATAGTCATAAAACATTTTACAATAGGTTTTTCCATATTATTGCCATCCTATTATTTCTTAGAAATGAAATTTATACAGTTATGTTTTAGAATTTGGAGTTTTTCAAAGAGCATATGTTCAGACTCATTCATAAAAGACATATTTTAAAAATATCATTTCAAATATATCAGTCAAAACTTGCCCTCCAAGTCCATGTTTTTCCTTGAACATGTATCTTGTTTGCTCTCTTTTTCCACTCTGAAGAAGATCATATTTTCTCTTGAACATGTATCCCTATTTTTCTTGCACCTCACATATTTCCTTTTTTTAAAAAATTTTTATTAGTGAAACACCATGAGGTACAGTTGTAGACTTACAATTTTTTGTGCTTGGGTTTCAGTTATACAATGATAGAATACCCATCCCTCAACCAGTGCCCATTTTCCACCACCACTAATCCCAGTATCCCTCCCACCCCTCATCCCACCCTGCCTCTGTGGCAGGGCATTTCATTTTGTTCTCTCCTTTTGGGTGCTTGGTTTGCAAAAGAGGCATTGAGTGGCAACCATGTTCGGTCTATAGTATACTTTCAACATGCATCTCCCATCTTTGGCGGATCTTCCCAACACCCTTTATTTAGTGCTCCCTTCTCTATCTGAGCTGCCTTTACCCGTAGCATGTGCGGCTGGCTTCCAAACCATGGAGTAAACCTCCTGCTACTTATCTCGGCTATTCTTGGGTGTTAGTCTCCTATTTTGTTACTTTATGTTCCCCAGATGAATGCAATCTTTCTATGTCTGTCCCCTTTTTTCTGACTCATTTCACTTAGCATGATCCTTTCCATGTTTTACCATTTGTATGTAAGTTTCATGACTTCATCCTTTCTAACAGCTACATAGTACTCCATTGTGTAGATGTACCAAGGTTTCTTTTTGTTCTCGGGCACTCAGGTTTTTTTCAGATTCTAGCTATTTTAAACAGTATTGATGTTACCATAAATTACTTCACCTCATCACCATCAAAATGCCTATGACCCTCCACTGTTCCTATGAACCTCCAGTTCAGTGTCTTTACCCATTCTCTAGAGAATAATAATCTTGCCATAATAAAATTTTCCATTTTGACTATTTCACCTGTATGTTGTAGTGATTTTTCTGTTTCATTATTGTTCATATAACTCTCTTCTTGTGCCTAACTTATCAAGGAAACTTGATCTTAGGTGTACATGTATAGCAAAACGCCACAGCGTTGAGTAATGTGGGGTTCAAAAATCCCCTGGGATCTTGGAGCTAATCTAAGGATAAGCAGGACTAGATAATACCGTGAGGTGGGATGGCTATGTTTTGAGAGTTCCCAGTACTGCTTTTTTTTTTGGTAGCAGCTGTACCATTTGACATCCCCATCACCAAGAATGTGTGCTCTGAGCACATTCCCAGGTAATGCTGCTATGAACCCAGATTTGAGTGTTAGTAGATTAAAATGATTCAGAAATTGAGGATACTTTCATTCACATATGATGTAATGTCCAATACTTGTGTGAAATTAATATTGTCGGGGTTATTGTTCAACAGAAAAAAATTAAGTAAATTGTTCTAATGAATGTCTTGTATATGGTGAGCTTCAGCGATCTGATATTCTTTATACTGAGATTTTATAGACATTGTCAAAGTAAAAATATGACATGTAAGAATGATGTACTCACTAATTTTATTTTTTAAATTTAATGCTTTAAATTCATATTCAAGTACTAGAAGTCAAAGATCAAGGGCAGAAATTAATGCTGAAATAAAGTTGTTAGAGAACACCCTTCAAATGCACACTGAAGAATATACTTATGCTGATCATACAATTGTGGATAATGAGGTAAAAAATAAAAATGGTTAAGATATACTTGATGTGCATATTGATTTCTTGCATTGCTTTAGCAAAATACTACAGACTAAATTTGCTTAAATAATGTATTTTCCCCTCCCACTTCTGCAATGTACAATATCTATGTGTTGGCAGGATTTGTACTTTCTGAGGGTCTTTCAGGAATTATTCTATGATGCACAGACATATAACATATATATAGTCATACAAATGTATATATCACACACATATAAGTACACGCTGGTATATGTATATGCATCTTTTTTTTGTCTTCACATTATAGCTTCTGTACATATTGTATCCAAACTTCCTCTTACAAACACAGCACTCATAGGGGACTAGCATTCACTCTAATAAATTTGTATGCATTTAATTGCCTTTGGAAAGCCCCTTTCTCAAAATAGGCATACTTTAATATACTGGAGATTGAGACTTGACATACAAATTTTGTGAGGCACATAATTCATCCCAAAATATATGTATATGTTTCGTTTCTATATTGTGATACAAAATTTAAAAGACACAAACCACACTAAATAGGAATTAACCTTGAAACAAGAAATGAAACTAATGTTGAAAAATAAAAAAAAATTATGGTAATTTATAAAGCTTATACATTTATTACAAAGAGTTTGGAGATTCATGCCAGCATATAACTCCAACATCTATAGTCTTTTTACCCTATATTGATTAAACTTACTAATATTAGTTATAGATATTGTTTTTATTTTTAAACAATAAAAAAATATAAACTGCCTTAAAAAAAACAAATGACATCATGCTAAAAAGACCACAAAGACTCAAAAGGTAAAATAAGATGTTCTGAAAACCATTTCCCATTTCATCTGCATTTGCCAGGTAATTAGCTCTTCAAAGAGGGTACTGTGGAGCACTATTGTGCTATACTCCTCACCTCACATCTTATTTAGAAAATTAATTCTAGAACATGGGGAGTGTACTTAAATGCGATGTTCTTATAATATGTTTACTAGCTGATCTCAAAATGAGAGTGAGGAACGGGTAAAGGAAAGGAAGGAGGGAAGAAGACACACAAAAAAGTCAACGAATTGACAGACACAAAGAAAATACACAAAGATACAAGAGATAGGAATCTGATAACTTAAAAAAACAGGAAATTAGTTTTGGATCAGCAGAAAAAAATATAACTAACTGGATGTGGGATGGGCTCTGTTTTTAGTTTCTGAGGACTCAAAATCTGTTATGCACTTCTAAAATTCTTATTTGTTCCTATTGATGTTTAATTGCTCAGGCTGACCTGGTGACCCTACTCAGTGCATTGGAACTATGACCAGTAATCAAATACTGTGGGGACAAGGCCATGATTCAATTACCCAGTGGGATAGAAGAAAAAAGGGACGCCATGCTTTCAATGAGGAAGTGAATAATCTCCAGCTATGAGAATGGATTGTATTAACTGTATCAGAGATCTAAGAATACCTAGTCTCAAAGAATTATTCTATTTAAATACCATTTATGAGGCACTTTAAAGTTCAAATAGATTTTGAATCTAGGCTAAAACACAACTACCCTATTTCAAGAAGTAGATCTCATTCTATAGTTATTTCTTAACAATCTTTTAACAAATAAACATTAAGGCTAAAATTAAATGCTTAAATGCTTTAGTTTCATATTTCAAAATATTGGATATTGCAGACTTTAAACAAGATATTATACAGACTGGAAACAACTAGACAAGGCTATAAATTGAGAGGACTATTAAAACGAGGCATTGGATTTCATCATGGATCAATGGAATACAAAGAACGACAAGTGGTTGAAACACTCTTCAGGCTGAGGCATGTCCAGGTTAGTAACTTTTGAGGACAACTTTCTTAAAAGTATTGTCTTCATTCATTTGGATACAGAAAGGAGATAAAATGTATCCTTAGAGCTTAAAGAAAACATTCTAACTCCCATATAATATTTCCATTTAAATAAGTATTCTGCTAACATATCAGCATATTTCATACTGTTCTGTGCTACACATTTTTATTAACTTAATATAAGACATATAGCACAGCGGTAGGGCATTTGCCTTGCATGCAGCCAATATGACCGACCCGAGTTCGATTCCTCCGTCCCTCTCGGAGAGAACGGCAAGCTACCGAGAGTATCTCGCCCTCACGGCAAAGCCTGGCAAGCTCCCCGTGACATATTTGATATGCCAAACACAGTAACAAGTGTCACAATGGAGACGTTACTGGGCCCGCTCGAGCAAATTGATGAACAATGGGAGGACCGTGACTATATGTTAAATGTAATTGGATATTCTGTCTTCCTTGCCTAATAACATGTAATTGGCATCTTATTAAGTACATTTCGTGATAAACATCTTATAAATGCATTATAATATATCACTGTCACTGTCACTGTCCTCCCGTTGTTCATCGATTTGCTCGAGCGGGTCCAATAATGTCTCCATTGGAGACTTTGTTGTTACTGTGTTTGGCATATTGAATACATCACAGGTAGCTTGCCAGGCTCTGCCATGCGGGCAAGATACTCTCAGTAGCTTGCCGGGCTCTCTGAGAGGGGTGGAGGAATCGAACTCGGGTCGGCCATGTTGGCTGCGTGCAAGGCAAACGCCCTGCCGCTGTGATATCGCTCCAGCCCATTATAATATATACATAGATAATTTAAGCATCCAGCTATTAAGAGTTTTTGTCATAAATTCATATTAGTCTTTTTAATCAAATTGGAATAATTGTGCAAAGTAAAACAACGCAGAGAATTAAAGTGTTTTAAATTAAAGTCCTTGTTTTTCTTATTTTCTTATTTTATTTTCTTATTTCTTAGTTTCTTGCTCGAGCAGGCCTAGTAACGTCTCCATTGGAGACTTTGTTGTAATATATATGGGGGATTGCAGATCTGGTTGTTTTCAGGCTTCCTTCTGGTTCTTTACTCAGGGATCACTTCTCATCTCGGGGGACCATAGTGGGCTTGAAACAGGAGATTGAACCAGGGTCAGCTAGGGACAAGGCAAGTACCTTATGTGCAATACTATTTCTCTGGCCTTGTGCTAATACATTTTAAGATTTACATGAAGTAGATAAATCCTACAAATACAAAATTTAAAAAGTGTGACTAGATTAAGAAAAATTTAAGGAGAGAGTTTTAATAGGGCTATAGATGTATAAAAGTGTGTTTTATCCTAAGAACAAGAATATTGGTTTTATGTTAGAAAATATATCATAAATACTACTTAAGTGTCTGTTTAATAAGTAATACAATTCTAAAAAATCTCAAAGGGTAGATTTAAAATAAATTGAACAAATTTTTAATATTTGTTAAATATAAATTTATATACTAACTCACTATTGCAAATATAGAAAATCAAAGAAACATTTCTTAATGTAGTAAAGGACAACAATAAGCATCATGAGTAAATGCTATACTCAATGCCAAATGCTGAGGAGTTTTTCTGTCTTTAAAGTCCTTTAATACTTCTTGCAAGACTGATTACAGGACTATGAATACCCTAAGGGTTGGAGCAATAGCACAGTGGGTAGAACATTTGCCTTACACGTGGCCAACCTGACCAACCCAGGTTCAACTCCTCTGTCCCTCTCGGAGAGCCCAGAAAGCTATTGGGAGTGTCTAGCCCGCATGGCAAGGCCTTGCAAGCTTTCCGTGATGTATTTAATATGCCAAACACAGTAGCAAGTGTCACAATGGGGACATTACTGGGCCTGCTCCAGCAAATCGATGAACAACAGGAGGACAGTGACAGTGAATACCCTAAGCCGTTACCTATCCCTGAAGCTCTGTATGAGTTGTTTGACTCGCCTGTTTGACTTCTTCCGTTGAAAGGAAATATAACTATTTAGCAGTGTAAAATTTTATGAGGAGCTGACATGTCATGGAGTTGGGCCCACTGAAATGGCAGAGTTCAGGTGGAAGCTACTGGTGCCTAGCAGGAAGGGAGAGGAGGCCACCTCCAGTTCTAGGAAGGCCTAAAAATTGTTAGCTGGGGGATCCCTCTACTTGAAGGATTGATGCAGTGAACTGTCACAGGATAAAGTTTTTTAAAACTTTAGAAACATTGTCAAATTTCTTTCTGGAATGACTATTTCATTATGACAAAATTTGAATATTATAGAAGTGGACTTGTAAATACAATACCAGCATCCCATGTTCTATTCTCCAATTTTCATCTTATACTACTTTCATATTACTTATATATTTATTTTACTCTTATATTACATCTTATATTACTGTGGCATATTTATCATCCTTGATGAATGAATACTGATAAGTGATTAGTATTAAATGTCATCCTTTATGGAGACTTACTCAGATTATTTTTAAAAACGATTTTTTAATTTTATAAAGTAGGGCTGGAGTGATAGCACAGCGGTAGGGCGTTTGCCTTGCACGCAGCCAACATGGCCGACCCGAGTTCGATTCCTCCGCCCCTCTTGGAGAGCCTGGCAAGCTACCAAGAGTATCTCGCCCACACGGCAGAGCCTGGCAAGCTCCCCGTGATGTATTCAATATGCCAGACACAGTAACAACAAAGTCTCCAATGGAGACGTTACTGGGCCCGCTCGAGCAAATCGATGATCAATGGGAGGGCCTTTACTTACTTTACTTTATAAAGTAGTTCACAATACTTCATTACATTTAATATTCAAACACCAATCCCTCTACCATTACACCTTCTCACCACCATATTTCAGATGTTTCCTTCTTAAACCTCAATCCCTGCCCCAAAACAGGACTGAAATAATATACTTTTGTATTGTTCGCTATGAATAACTGCTGAGCGATAGCACAGCGGTAGGGCATTTGCCTTATAAGCGGTCAACATGGCCGACCCGAATTCGATTCCTCCGCCCCTCTAGGATAACCCGGCAAGCTACTGAGAGTATCTTGCCCACATGGCAGAGCCTGGCAAGCTACCCGTGACGTATTCGATATGCCAAACAAAGTAACAACAAGTCTCATGATGGAGATGTTACTGGACCTGCTCGAGCAAATCGATGAACAATGGGAGGACCGTGACAGTGAGGATTCTATCTGGATACTGACTACATTTGTTGTCAGATCTCTTTAGGTTTATTCTTGGTACACTAGTTTTTCACGTTTTTCTTGGTGTTTTGAAGATCTTGATAGTCTTGAGTATTATTGGACAGGTTACTTTATAAAACATCTCTCAGTTGGGAATTCTGTGATGTTTTACTTGTGATTATATGGATTTATTAATATATTTCTTGAAGAAAGATCACAGAGGTCAATATATTCTTCACCATTTTGTTTTAAGGGTAGACTACGTAACCTATCATTGTTAATATTATCTGAAGTATGTTAATTATGTGTGAGCCTTCTTTACTAAAAAGCTATATTTTTATTATGGAATTATATTAAGGAATGGGGAGTATGTTACATATCGTTTAAATTAGAGTGACTACAGAAATTACTTGGTTAAATATGCATCCAATGTTTATCACTATGGATGCAGTATACATTTATTTTAAGTTTCTATTATGATCAGTGGTACCATATGTATTTTAGTATTGCTCCTAGTTTTCAAATTTTGGCCTTTGATAGGTCTTTCAATTATCTTCTGACCTTTAGTGGACTTAAATCATTGTGAATGTTATAGTTGCTTTGAGCACTTCCTTGCTTTCTTACAAATTAAGACACACTAAATCCATCTTTACTATTTGCCCCCAAAATAAAATTAGTCATTTTCCAAAATAATTACTTCCTAATTCTTTTTATACAAATGTGAGATCCTATCATAACCAAGAAGAGTCTAAAAAGAATATGACTACTATTTATAATGTGGTAAAGGTGAAGGTAAAGGTAAAGGTAAATGCCCTCCCGTTGATCATCGATTTGCTCGAGCGGGCCCAGTAACGTCTCCATTGGAGACTTTGTTGTTACTGTGTCTGGCATATCGAATACTCTAGGTAGCTTGCCAGGCTCTCCGACAGGGGCGGAGGAATAGAACTCGGGTCAGCCATGTTGGCCTCTTGTAAGGCAAACGCCCTACCCGCTGTGCTATCGCTCCTAACCCGCACAGATTTAGGAAAGGGGCATTAGGTAAAAACTAAAGAAATCTGAAAACTTTGTAAATTATAATAGTGATAATAATAGGCTTTTATGAGAGTATTCGATATGCCAGACACAGTAACAACAAAGTCTTCAATGGAGACGTTACTGGGCCCGCTCGAGCAAATCGATGATCAACGGGAGGGCCTTTACTTTTACTTATGAGCACAATTTTCTAAATCCATACCCTTCACCAGAATGCTTTCTGAAAAAAGAAATAATAAAGGAAGACTAATGTGATCAGTAGTAATTATGTATGCATCTATGTAGTCTGTGGTATTTATAGTTTTTTTGTTTGTTTGTTTTTTTGGAGGCTTCACCCAGGTGTGCTCAGGCCTTACTCCTTGCTCTTCACTCAGGGATCACTTCTGGCAGTGATGAATATTGGAATGTTGGGTAGTGAACCCGGGTCAACAGCATGTGAAGCAAGCACCCTATCTGCTGTACTATCACTCTGTGCCAATGTTAAGTATTTTTTAATTATTTTCTTTTACCTTCTACTCATAGGTGGTAACAGCTACCTCAAGTCTTGCATTGGGAATTAATATGCCATGTAAATCTGTTATTTTTACAGAAGATTCTGTTTATCTGGATGCTCTGAACTTTAGACAGGTATTTATACATTACTTTCATTGATTGTGCATATACAAGGATCTGGGGCATTTGTTCCTTAATCCAAAATAAAAAGTGCTCCTGAAACATATGGTGCCTATAAATGTATTACCAAATGGGTTTTAAATACATTTAGATTCAACACATATTATGAATATGATTATACTAAATATATATTAAGAAATCATTGGCCAGATAAATATATTCATATTTTTAGAATATTTTTGTTTGTTAAAACTGCCAAAATACATACAAGTGGTACAATATGGAAAGTATCATGCTAAGCGAAATGAGTCAGAAAGAGAGGGATAGACATAGAAAAATTGCATTCATCTGGGGTATATAAAGCAACAAAATATGAGATCAATACCTAAGAATAGCTGAGATCAACACCAGGAGGATTACTCCATAACTCAGAGGCCAGCCGGATATTCTAGGGGAAAGGGCAGTTCAGATAGAGAAGGGAACACCAAATGAAAGGTGTTTGGAGGATCCTCCCAGGAGGGGAAATGCATGTTGAAAGTAGACTATGGACTGAACATGATTGCCACTCAATGCCTCTTTTGCAGACCACAACACCCAAAAGGAGAGAAAGAACAAAGGGGAATGCCCTGCCACAGAGGCAGGGTGGGAAGGGGGGTGGGGGGAAGTGGGCACTGGTGGAGGGATGGGTATTTGATCATTGTATGACCGAAACTCAGGCACAAGGATTTGTAAATCTACAACTGTACCTCATGGTGCTTCACTAATAAAAAAATTTAAAAAAACTGCCAAAATTAAACAATAAATTAATAATAAAATGTAAGCACATTTTTTGGGTACCCAAACTGATGTCAAGCACAAGTGATTATAAATTGAATGTCTACAGTGTGTTTGTTTTTTTCCTTTTTAATGAATCACTGTGAGGTACAGTTACAGACTTATAAACTTTCGTGCTTATGTTTCAGTCATACAATGATTGAGTATCCATCCCTCCACCAGTGCCCCTTCACCCCACCAATATTCCCAGTATCTCTCCCACCACCCTCTACAATGTTTTTGGTTCATAATAATTTCTGAAAATATTTTGGTGATTAAGGTAGAAGTTTCCCTATTTTAAATTCCTTGACTTTAAACATATCCATTACTAAACAGAAGCACACATTTTAATAATATGATTATAAAGTAAAATTATAATAATTTATAGTTGATGTACCAATAAACAAAATGTTCCATATTATAAAGGCAAGTTAAACATTAACCATTTACAGAGACAAGATTTAAAATCATTTAAACATTATGTGATCATTTCTCTAGATGTCTGGACGTGCAGGGAGACGTGGAGAAGATCTCACAGGAAATGTGTTCTTCTATGGTGTTCCACTACCTAAGATTGAAAGACTCTTAAAATCTAACATGCCCAAACTGAAGGGTCAATTTCCTCTAAAATTATCATTGGTTCTCAGACTTATGCTGCTTGTTGCCAAAGCAGAGGACACAGAGGATGCCAAAGCAAAGGTTGGTTTATATCTTATTTAAATGACATTAATAAAGGCAATTAACTTTAGTTCAATTTCATAACTTTGTACAGGTGGAGTAGAAGAAAAACTACTATAAACTTTTGTAATATTTTATTTTTGCAGCATTTTTACAAAATATAAAACATGTTTATACTGATCATGCTTTTTAAACATACAGAAAATTAAGTAGGCTATTTTTGTGTCTAATTTTTCTTCTATATCACGATCACGACCATCCTGTTGTTCGTCGATTGCCTCGAGCAGGCCCCAGTAACGTCTCCTTTGTCCTAGCCCTGAGATTTTTTTTTAAAGTGCCATATTCAAGGCTCTTTCAGGGTTAGGAGAATGAGACCCATCATTGTTACTGGTATTTGGCATATTGGGTATACCACGGGGAGTTTGCCAGACTCTGCCGTGTGGGCAGGTTACATTCGGTAGCCTGCCAATTTGTCCAAAGTAGGAATGAGATGATAATGAGATGATTTTTCTTCTATATAAAAAGAAAAAAATTTTCTTTGAAGATATATCTGCTCTAAAGCATTTTAAAAGTCGCATTTCAGAGACAATTAAGGTTTAAAATGCATGATATTGAATGTAACTTGTGATTCTTCATCTTTACACCTTATAATATTTCTACTTTGGGGGATGAAAAACCTGGTGCTGCTGTTTTACTCTTGACTCTGCTCAGTGATCATTCCTGGCTGGATTTGAAGGACCATAAGTGGTGCTGGTGACCAAACCTAGGTTTCCTAAGTGTAAGACAAGTGCCTGTCTATACTATCTTGCCAGTCCCAATTATTTCTATTCTGCCATGTTTAAAATTCCTATTTATTACTTCTAAATTTTAAAAACATTTTATATTGTTTACATGTAATTATAAACATTATGGATTAAGTCTCCTGCCCCTGCGCCTGGCTGTCCTCACCAGAGCCCCTTGGAGGGGGGAGGGTTGAGTTTCTCTCCCCCTCTCCCCCCGCCCCGAGCAGAGCCCCAGCAGCTGAGGAACTCCGGAGCCAGCCATGGCCATGCTGGGACCACTCTTCACATGTCTGGATGGGCCTCATGCATGAAAGAACTGGCAGAGGAACCCAGGCATGCGGGTCCCAGGGCTGAGGTCTCCAAGCCTACTCGGATTGGGACTGGGCCTTCTCCACCCAGACCCCCAATCTTCCAGTAGGTAGGAGTCACACCCACCAGCTGCTGACAGCGCCAAGTTGGTCCCATCAACGGCCAAGACCCAGAGACTATAAAACCCAGCTCCCGGAAGCATGCGGCCGCATTCACGGTTGTGCGACATCTTATCTTTCCTTTAGAGAACCTGGCAGGCTACAAAAAGTATCTTGCCTGCACGACAGAGCCTGGCAAACTTCTCGTGTCCTACTCAATATGCCAAATACCAGTAACAATGATGGGTCTCTTCCTCCTAATCCTGAAAGAGCATTGAAATGGCTCTTTTAAAATCTCAGGGCTAGGAAGAAGGAGACGTTACTGGTGCCTGCTCGAGACAATCGACGAACAACAGGATGATCGTGATCATGATGGATTAATTAATTCCAGTAGTAATTATAATTAAAAATATATATAATATGTAACACCTAATTTAAAACATGAAGTTCACATATTACATGGTCTAGAAAATGCACATATGCATATATCATGATGTTCTATTATGGAAATATTTCATTGTCCACTTGTATATTATATTTCAAAAACACTGAAAAGCTTTCCTAACATCTAACTCATATTTTGATATGTATAGGCATTATCAGTTCTCCAACATTCATTGATATCCTTCAAGCAACCAAAGATCATTTGTATGATAAAATATTATTTTATATATTCTTTGCAATTGTTGATCACAGAGGTAAGATTTCTGCTTAATTTTACTAAGATTTGACTCAGCATATTTAATTCTATTGAAATATATCTTATTAATAATTTATTGACTTGATGTTTATGAGATCTAGAAATAGAGGCTAACATGTACAAACTGACTTTCAGGGATACCTGAATCAAGAATGTATTCCCATTGGATATTCTGGACTGGTGTCTCATTTACATTATCACGAACCTGCAAATTTTGTTTTTGTAAGTTTGCTGAGGAAAGGTTTATTTCACAAGTTGTGTACTCCAGAGAGAAGAAAAGGTAAGCAGTATTTCCCCAAACACCTATTCATTAACAAACACACACATATATGTAAATGTATGTCATACTTCTATTTGCAGACAATCACTTATCTGCCAGGGTTTCATTCAACTTGAGGGGTGCCATTTTCTCCGTGTCTTTTCTCTTGCTTTATTTTCGACACTTTCTTTTATTATTTTTTATCTTATTGAATCAATGTGAGATAATTAGAAGCTTTCATGTTTGGGTTACAATCGCACAATGATCAAACACCCATCACTCCACCAGTGCACATTCCCCACAACCAATATCCCCGGTATACCCTCCCATTCTCACACTCTCTGCCACAAAGGCAGACAATATTCCCCATACTCTCTCTCTATACTTTTGGCCATTATGGTTTGCAATGCAGATACCGAGAGGTTATCATGTTTGGTCCTTTATCTACTTTCAGCACACATCCCCAATCCCGACCGGTTCCTCAAGCCATCATTTTCTTTTTTTTTCTTTTAGGTTTGATATTATCTTGTTATATTAGAAGCCCATACAAACTTTCCATATTTAATTATATGACTTTCCATTGTTCGATTGTTTTTAAATTTCTTTTTTTTTAAATTTTTATTAGTGAAACACCATGAGGTACAGTTGTAGATTTACAAATTTTTGTGCTTGGGTTTTGATTATACAATGATCAAATACCCATCCCTCTACCAGTGCCCATTTTCCACCACCAAGGATCCCAGTATCCCTCCCACATCCATCTTCCCCGTCCCACCTTGCCTCTGTGGCAGGGCACTCCCTTTTGTTCTCTCTCTCCTTTTGGGTGTTGTGGTCTGCAAAAGAGACATTGAGTGGCAATCATGTTCGGTCCATAGTCTACTTTCAACATGTATCTCCCATCCTGGGAGGATCCTCCAAACACCCTTTATTTGGCGCTCCCTTCTTTATCTGAGCTGCCCCTTCCCCTAGAATGCCCGGCTGGCCTCTAAGCCATGGAGTAATCCTCCTAGTACTGACCTCGGCTATTCTTGGGTATTAATCTCATATTTTGTTATTTTATGTTCCCCAGATGAATGCGATCTTTTTATGTCTATCCCTCTCTTTCTGAGTCATTTCGCTTAACATGATACTTTCCATGTAGTACCACTTGTATGTAAATTTCATGACTTCATCTTTTCTAACAGCTACATAGTACACCATTGTGTAGATGTACCAAAGTTTCCTTAACCAGTCATCTGTTCTCGGACACTCAGGTTTTTTCCAGATTCTGACTATTGTAAAGAGTGCTACAATGAACAACCAAGTGCAGATGTCACTTCGACTATACTTTTTTGCCTCTCTGGGATATATTCCCAGGATTGGTATTGCTGGGTCAAATGGGAGCTCAATTTCTAATTTTTTTGAGAATCGTCTGTACTGTTTTCCAAAAGGGCGGAACCAGTTGACATTCCCACCAACAGTGAAGGAGTGTTCTAGGTTAGCTCAACCACTAGGAACACATTAGCCAATAACTTGTTAAGCATATCATTTTCTTAGCCTTCCCTTCTCTATTCCATTTGCCTTCTCCCCTTTGCTCATGAGGCAGGCTTCCAGCTATGGAACAATCTTCCTGTCCCGTATATCTACTCTCCTTAGGTGTCAGGGTCATGTTATGTTTTTTTATACTCCACAAATGAGTGCAGTTCTTCATGTCTCTCCCTCTCTTTCTGACTCCTTTCACTTAGCATGATACTCTCCATGTGTATCCATTATAAGCAAATTTAAAATCTCTCCTAACAGCTGCTTAGTATTCCATTGTATAGTTGTACCAAATTTTCTTTAACCAGTCATGTGTTCTCGGGCACTCAGTTTTTTTAAGATTCTGGCTATTATAAACAGTGCTACAATGAACATATAGGTACAGATGTCACTTCTACTGTGCTTTTTTTTGCACCCTCGGGATATATTCCCAGTAGTGGTATTGCGGGGTCATATGGATGCTCAATTTCTAGTTTTTGTTGGACAGTCTATATTGCTTTTCAGAAAGGCTGGACCAGTCAGCATTCCCACCAACAGTGAAAGAGTGTCCCTTATTATCCACATCCATGCCAGCACTGGTTGCTTTTGTTCTTTTGAATGTGTGCCAGTCTCTGTGGTATAAGATGATATCTCATTGTTGTTTTGATCTGCATCTCCCTGATGTCTAGCGATGTGGAGCATTTTTTCATGTGCCTTTTGGCCATTTGTGTTTCTTTTTTGATGAAACTTCTGTTCATTTCTTCTCCCCATTTTTTGATGGGGTTGGAGTTTTTTTCTTGTACAATTCTACTAGTGTCTTGTATATCCTGGATATTAATACCTTATCATATGGGTCACTTAATCACTTAATCACTTAACTTCCCGTTAGTCGTCAATTTGCTTGAGTGGGCGCCAGTAACGTCTCCATTTGTCCCTGTCGCGTGCTAGTGTAGCCCAATGGTATCTGTTCGCTCCGGGAACATGAAGGGCCTCAAACCGATCGTTCATGATCTTGACGAAGAAGTCAGACCATCTGGTAGGTGGGCGGCCACGCGGTCTCTTGACATGCCGTGGAATCCAGTCGGTAACAGCTCTAGTCCAGTGGTCGTCTTTAAATCTCATTACGTAACCAGCCCATCTGATTTTCGACACCTTGGCAAATGAGACAGTGTCCCTGATTCTCCATCGTCGACGGATGTCAGAACTCCGGATTCGTTCTCTCATTTGAGTGAAACGTGATATTCCAAGCATAGCTCTTTCTATTCTTCTTTGGGAGACTTGAATAGCATTCTCATCTTGTTTGCGTAGGGCCCAGGTCTCTGAGGCATATGTTAATGCAGGAAGAACAGTGGAATCAAAGAGATGTGCCCGGAGCCGGAGGTTCTTCATCCTCTTAGCTATTTCTTCGACGTTCTTGAAGGCGTTCCAAGCAGCTCTCTTCCTCCTGCGCAGCTTGGGTGCCAGGTGATTTCTCATGTTGACTTCTCGACCTAGGTACACATAGCTGTTGCATTCGGAGATGGTCGTTCCATTGAGAGCAAATGGGGCGTCAGGAACAAGGCTGTTTCTCATAAACATTGTCTTCGTAAGATTCAGCTGTAGTCCTACCTTTCCACACTCATGGTCAAAGTCGGCCAGCAATTGTGCCGCTTGGCTGATGTTTGGTGTTATTAAAACAATGTCATCAGCAAAGCGGAGGTGGTGTAGTTGCCGACCATCTATCTTCACTCCCATTCCTTCCCATTCCAGTCGTCGCATGATGTTCTCGAGGGTGGCACTGAAGAGTTTCGGTGAAATGGTATCACCCTGCCACACCGCTCTCTTGACATCAATGATCACTTCTTTTTAGAATGGTGAGATCCTGGTAGTGAATCCGCAATACAGCTCACGGAGGATCCTGATGTATTGGGCTTCAATGCCCTGATTGGCTAGGGCTTCAATGACCGCTTCCGTCTCAACAGAATCAAAGGCCTTCTTTAAATCAATGAACGTTAAGCAAAGCGGCATCTTGAACTCCCGAGAAACCTCAATGACCTTCGTTATCGTGTGGATATGGTCGATGTTGCTGAATCCTTTGCGGAACCCTGCTTGCTCGCATGGTTGTCCTTCATCTAGTGTTCTGCCAATCCTATTCAGGATGACTCGAGTGAACAACTTGTAGATGACAGACAATAGGCAGATCGGGCGATAGTTGCCAATGTCATGGATGTCTCCCTTCTTGAACAGTAGTATGGTCCTGCTGGTTTTCCATTGGGACGGAACCTTGCATTCAGACAGGTAGCGAGTGAAGAGCCGAGCCAGTGTACTGATGAGTACTGACGGCAGGTTCTTCAGGTGTTCAGGTCTGACCTTGTCTGGGCCGGGTGCTGTTTGTTTCTTTACCGACGAAATGGCGTGTCGGATTTCGTAAGGGAGAACATTGGGAATGACATACCCATCCTGTGGAATTTGGTATGTCGGCAAGTGGACATGGCTATCGAAGAGATTTGAGTAGAAGTCATGGATAATCTTCTCCATTGCCGTTCTGGAGGATGTGATGGATCCATCAGGACGTCGGAGAGCAGTCATCTTGGTCTTATAGTTGGCGAAGGACAGGCGGGCATTACAAATACTTTTCCCGGCTTCTGCCACATCTACCAGTACTTCTGCTCTTCTCTCTTTGAGGTCTTCCTTGATCGCATCTCTGCACTGCTTTGCGAGCTCGGACATTAGCTTGCGGTTGCCTGAGGCATGCGCCAAACCACGCTGGCGAATTAGCTCAAGAGTTTTTGAAGATAGGCGATTTTTTGTGGCTATCTCTCTCTTGGCGTTCCTCGCACATTCATGGAGGTGCTGAACCAGTCGATCGTATTCCTCGTCAATGTTGTCAACAATGGCATCTTCCCATGTTGCCGCAATAGTACCAAAGAGTTCCCAGTTGGTGGTCATTCTGGGAGTTCTCTTTTTGAACTTTGCAGCCCTTTCTCCCCGCTCTGTGAAGTAGAATTTTGCACGAAGGAGACGGTGGTCTGATCCCGTTCGAAATTTTGGGACAACAGCGACATCAGTCAGGCAAAACCGTCGATTGAATATGATGTGGTCTATTTCGCTTTGCGGGCATCATAAGACACATCATAAGACACTAAATACCCATCTTCTGGAATTGTCGTACCATATTTGATAGGGTTCAAATATGGTAACACCTACAAGGGTGATTAGAGGTCACCCCAAAAGCCTCTATCCCTCTCAGAAAGACTGGCAAGCTACCGAGAGTATTCCGCCCGCACGGAAGAGCCTGGCAAGCTATCCGCTGTGTATTCGATATGCCAAAACCAGTAACTACAACTGGTCTCATTCACCTGACCCTGAAGGCTTCACCGACATGGCAGCACTGAGAAGGATGAGAAAGGAGAGGCCGACAAAATCTCAAGGCCGACCTAGGCTGCCACAACGAAGGAAGACAAAAATGATCGTCTGTACTTTCAATGCACGTACGCTAGCATCAGATGCATCCATCGAGGACCTGATGGTACAAGCGCAAATGA